GCATGTTTCAATAATAGGTTGCACTTGTGCATGTTTTAAAACTTTTACATAGCTAAATCCACCCCTAATACGCAAAGACATATTTGACACAAATCATGGAATGATCATGATACTGTGACACATGAAGAATGACACCAGCTGATCATGAAAAATGTTTGCTCCAGCTGTTTTCTTTACTTAACACTAACATACTTCTCCCCACACAGACACCAACACTTACTGTACAGTGTACTGTACTTCTCCCCACACAGACACCAACACTTACCGTACAGTGTACTGTACTTCTCCCCACACAGACACCAACACTTACCGTACAGTGTACTGTACTTCTCCCCACACAGACACCAACACTTACCGTACAGTGTACTGTACTTCTCCCCACACAGACACCAACACTTACCGTACAGTGTACTGTACTTCTCCCCACACAGACACCAACACTTACTGTACAGTGTACTGTACTTCTCCCCACACAGACACCAACACTCACCGTACAGTGTACTGTACTTCTCCCCACACAGACACCAACACTTACCGTACAGTGTACTGTACTTCTCCCCACACAGACACCAACACTTACTGTACAGTGTACTGTACTTCTCCCCACACAGACACCAACACTTACCGTACAGTGTACTGTACTTCTCCCCACACAGACACCAACACTTACCGTACAGTGTACTGTACTTCTCCCCACACAGACACCAACACTTACCGTACAGTGTACTGTACTTCTCCCCACACAGACACCAACACTTACCGTACAGTGTACTGTACTTCTCCCCACACAGACACCAACACTTACCGTACAGTGTACTGTACTTCTCCCCACACAGACACCAACACTCACTGTACAGTGTACTGTACTTCTCCCCACACAGACACCAACACTTACCGTACAGTGTACTGTACTTCTCCCCACACAGACACCAACACTTACCGTACAGTGTACTGTACTTCTCCCCACACAGACACCAACACTTACCGTACAGTGTACTGTACTTCTCCCCACACAGACACCAACACTTACCGTACAGTGTACTGTACTTCTCCCCACACAGACACCAACACTTACTGTACATTGTACTGTACTTCTTTCCCCACACACCAACACTTACCGTACAGTGTACTGTACTTCTCTCCCAGGATGTACAGGGGTTCCTGTGTCTTCGGAAACTCCACATACTGCAAGGGACCACTTTCATACGTGAACGTTGCTGTAACAAAAACTGAAAATTTACAAAGAATCACCAAAAGTGAAAAAAACATCATGATCATGCACATCGCACCTGGAAACACTGTCACTGTGTCAGTCCAACAATCAAGTACCAAACACTAAACAGTGATTTTACCTGAGACTAAAAGCATATATCCTCCCATGGACAAGCTAATGTTTTTTTGTTTTATTTCCATACCCATCTGATACTGACCAGGTGCGGTCGGGTAGCCTTGTGGTTAAAGCGTTCGCTTGTCACGCCAAAGACCCGGGTTTGATTCCCGACATGGGTACAATGTGTGAAGCCCATTTCTGGTGTCCCCCGCCGTGATATTGCTGGAATATTGCTAAAAGCGGCGTAAAACCATACTCACTCACTGATACTCAGCAGCTAATGAAACAATAAAAATGTACTGAAAATGATGCTAAGAGCCAAAATCAGGCCAGTGGCTTCAACTGTTTTTGGCACAGACTGGTAGGGGTGACTCTTGGTCTGGAAATCACTATTGCGATAACTATTGATATTGCAAGCAACTATTGCGATAAATATCAATAGTTTTCAGTGTATCATTTTAGATGGATTTTAGAGTTGAATTAAACCTTGGAACTGAAGTTTCCTTTGGATGTGATCACCATAACAACAAATAAAAGTAAAGTGTGAGATATTACTGATTTGTTTTTTCTTTACCCTAATAATTTAAGAAAAAGAAACTTCCATATTACCACATATGTGTAAATTGATATGGTAAATATTTCTAACTGAAATCGATACTATTGATCGGAAACTGATTTAACAACCAATTTAGCAATACATTGATATTTTGATTTATCGTGACACCCCTACAGACTGGGGTAATCCTATAGTGAGACAATTTACACGTAGCCATGGTAATGTGCATGAATACAATGTCTACAGATATGACACAAGAACATAATAACGGCCTTTACTATACACATAATACATGCCATATGTCTACAATCTGATGCATCTGCACACACTGCACAGCCTCGTCATTGACACACTAATTGAAAATTGATCACTAACATGATCAGTGCCCTGTGATATGGTGCCTTCAGCATTAGCATGTGGTACATGTCCCTACCAAAGTTCATAACGGTTGAATTATCCTTCATGTCTAAAGCGCTGATTATGATGATAGGACATGCAGAGATAGTTGAACATGCTAAAAAAGAAAAGGGTTTTCTTCACATATCATTGTAACTTTCTCTTTTTGTAAGTGAGTTTTTTAACAGATGAATTTAACTTTCAACATGATGTAACACCAAACACTCATCATGCTCATTACGGGTTTACTGTAGTCATGGAAACCAGAATTGTTAATCATCAGTCGCAGACGTAACGTGTACGCGTGACGGCTCTGCTGTCTCTTGTACGAGAGACGGGTGCTGTCCGCAGTACTCAGTGAAGCGCTTGATAATAATTAATTCAATCACTGTGGCTGTGCTGTCACCCGCGACCTCTGCGAAAGTAATTAAAGCGCTATGTAAAATAACCCACTACCGAGAGAGCCCCCAATCCTCCCAAGGTCGTGACTGGCGGGTCGCGTGTGCATCGAGGCATCCGCCTTCCAATCTTCACATACCCTATTTTTGAACAGTTAAGACATGTCAACATGTCATTCTGGACTGGATACACTTGAAACAAATTGTATCAACATGATCAACCTTCACAAGATCATGATGATGAAGGAATAAACATCATACACATGATTGTTTTGTCGTTTAACGCCGCACTCAGCAATATTCCAGCTATATGACGGCGGTCTGTAAATAATCGAGTCAGGGCCAGCCAATCCAGTGATTAATATCATGAGCATCGATCCATACAATTGGGATCGATGACATGTATCAACCAAGTCAGCGAGACTTACCACCCGATCCCGTTAGTCGCCTCTTACGACAAGCATAGTCGACTTTTACGGCAAGCATGGGTTGCTGAAGACCTATTCTACCCCGGATCTTCATGGGTGGTGATACACATGAAATAGGATTGACAAAGTAAATGTAGATGTAACAAATTTTTAACTCCAGCCAGTCCTCAATTCAATTCAGATTTGTAGTTCATGATCATAGTCTTTTGCGACATCGTTAACGAAAACCAAATCAATGATTTCTATTTAATTATTTTTGCAATCCATAAATTGACACACAAATATCAATAATCTATGATCATGATGATAAATCAAAACCATGTTAAAGCCACACTTATTTATTTTTCACTTCACCGGCCCGCTGCCCCTACTGAAAAGCAGCTGGAAAAGAAATAAATTCAACACAAAAATATCTATTTTCATTATGTATTCTGCTGGTAATATAGTCCTTCTCATACAATACAAATGTTAGATATAAATTCCATGTCTACATCACTATCAGTGATTCAAAAAGCCATCTGCAGTTTTAACTCCCCGGCAGAATGACTTTCATATAAATAAATACATGATATAGCTATTTATTTTCATATTCATTTCGACCGACAGTGCGTGCAAAAACTTGAATAAATCGGTGAAACATGAAATTAAAAAAGTGTGGCCTAAACATGTTAAAACAATGAAGTATGAATAATTATATCAGAAACAAACAAAACCAAAGATCATCCTGAAAACGTTCCAGCCACAGTCTGTGCAATTTAACTTCATGTCACAACTGCTGCCTCCCTCCCAATTCTATGCAGATACCATCAGGATGGACTTGTTGCGTCCAACTGCGTAGTGGTCGTGGAGTACTATGCCACAACCAGTATTATCATAATCACTGGTTTTAGTTGTCCAACAGGTGCAAACAGAGGGAATATGGATGATGCTCTGTTATCATGATTATGTAACGTTTGCAAATACACATATGATGCCTTACTCATGTTACTAAATAAATGGGCCAATAAATGTAACAGACATTGAAACTAAATACTATAAATACGTGGACATATTGCCAAAATCATGGCACATCTTCATCAGTCAGTGTTTACTCCCGTCTGATAGTTTCCACATGCTTCGTGTATACATTCGACACTGTCCAGAACGACTTGACTTCACGACACGTTACATGTATCTTTTTTGTAAATCGAAATTATGCACGTAAATAGTGATGACGCACTTTATCAACATTGCTGCAGATGATTTCCGTCGTAAGGTTTAACCTCATTATACGTCCTTACTGAGGTCGGGGCTTGTACTTGTAACAAAGGGTATGTAAATTAAGTAACAATTTCTTAAACTCGGGACTGCTCACTCACAATCAGATGACCTGTCATTTCCCCATATTCTCGTCAGTCACTGAGACGTCAGCTGTTGCTAGTGAACTCTTCCAAAAATAAATGACAGCCGATTTCTTAAGAATTGTGAATGACCTCAGATTAAACTAGTTGAACATTCTCCATTAACAAACCATCACAATCTCGATATTTAACAACGTATGGGCGTAGTTTCTGTTTGATCTATAACTTACCATCAAACTCCATTTCCTTGCAAAATCATAACATTTGTTCTACGCATGACCGGATAACTGTATTACTTTTGTGATAACTCCGATGATTGGTCAATCCGATTCGCTTTATCCAATGAACTGCTGGGTAAAGTGTAAAGGAATATGGTAGAGCCTATTTATCTTTAGGTGGCATAACTACTACATTTGCGTTGTTTACTAAAGTAAAATTTTAAACTTCTGTATATTGCGATCTTGATAATAGACTACGTGTTATCAATTAACAGTTAATGTAGTAACATTTGTAAACTGACGTAAAATATTGTTGTTCCATGATATATTCCCCGCATATGTGAGTGCTTTCTACTTTGACAGAGAATAGTATATTCCAAAAAGGGGAATTCCCTTCATGCAACACGTTGTTGACATTAATTTGTTGGCGTGGGTGCAGGTCACTCGGGTGAAAAAGGTAACAGTATTTTTTCGTTTGTTTTGCATGGGGGAAATACTTGTATCGGATTTCAGAGTGGTAAGTGTTGCAAAAAAATCGATCGCAGCAGTGGCGATACCCATCAGCCACCAACGTCTAGCCGGTTCGAAAAGAATCGGTATTGTGATAACTCAAAGACGTATATCGTCTTTGGATAACTGATATCGCTAACACGACACTTCGGCAAAACGTCTCTCATCAAAACAACACTTAAGAATGAGAAAGTGGTTTAATGTAACAAATGTTATATTTGGGATTAGACTTTCTTAGTAGGCTACAACATGCCAGTACTTGTTTTCAATGAGTGCCATCCGGGATTCGAACCCACACCTAATTAATTGCCTGCACACAAGGTGGGCGATCTAGCCCACTCGGCCACTGAGGGATCCTGAAAATGGAAGTTCAACCACTAGTTGTCTAGGTCACACACCTTGTGTACCCGTCTGACAAATAGCTGTAAATTGGTAAATGGCTAAAAGCTGTGACTACACAATGGCTTTTAGAAAGTGGTTATTGAATGTAACAAATGTTACATTTGGAATCACCCACTCAATCGCCGAGGCTGAAAGCTGTGAATACACAATGCCTTTTAGAAAGTCATATTGAATGTAACAAATGTTGTATTGGAATAACCCACTTAGACATTTGAGGCACTGTAGTCAAGATCACATACTTTGTGTACCTCTCTGACAAATGTGAATTGGCATGGCTCCCATGGCCGAAATTTTTAAGCTTTGAATACACAATATGCCTTTTAGAAAGTGGTCAAATGTAAGAAATGTTATATTTTGGAGTATACTTTCTTAGTAAAGTTCAAATTCTAGTTCTTGTTTGGTTTGAGTTCCATCTGGGATTGGAACCCACAGATGGAGGCACCTAATCACCAGCACACAAAGTTAACTTTAGAATTAGCTTATGAAACTGTATGAAAATGATAGTTGTAATGAAATACTTTATTGTAAGCCTAAACAGATATATATATTGTTGAATCGCACATATTTTGTGACTGTGATTCTCATTCATGTAGTCATCTAGTTCAGTTAATAACCAACTATAAAGAATATAGTCTCTATCTTGCAACATCATAACATTGACATTATGTAAAGATGCTGTTATAGATAATGGTAATTAGATTATCTCTTGTTTCAGTTTCTGGAAGTTTTACAGAACAGAAGACATGGCAGGGACAGGTAATACTCATTAAAACTAAACGAAGTAAAAGTATGTTATGTCTGTAATATTTTGTGCAATCTCATTAAAATCAGATCTTAGTTCTCGCTACCGCTAAACAAACAGGACATCCCATTAGGGGATCATGTCGTGTGTGTGTGTGTGGCTGCTTGTACTAGTCCGGACTGATGCCGATTTATAGTGCTAGCCCACTGAGATACCATGCTGTAGTTTAACATGAATACCACACTCAGACAGATTATTCTGGCTCCGAGACAACCAGTCCTTGTTTTATCTCCTTAGTGCCGAGCATCAGGCAGGGTAACAACAAGAACCATCTTTAAACGTCTTTTGGTGTGACACAGCCAGGGTCCTTCCGCTCTCCGGGCAGACGCTCTACCACAAGATTACGGAGGCGGTCCCCTTCGGAAGAGTTTATCCTGGTACATCGGCATATAGCTGGAATATTGCTGAGTGGGGTGTTAAACAACAAACAAACTATGTCATATATATATATGCCTCTTAGGGTTTCTATTTCTTATTGATGTTGACAAAGATTGCAAACAAACAAACAAACAAACAAACGCCATTTGAAAATCGGACGAAGATCTGTGATAACAAAATTTGTTTCACTTATGTTTGACATAGTGTTCAACGAATAATGATATGTCAAAACATTTCACCATGGCAATCATATTACCGTATTCGACGTAATAAGCACCCAGGGCGCTCTCAAAATTAGAAATAGGGGGCTTAGTTGAAAGCTACATTTCGTGGTTTATGCTGCTGGCCTGAACTGTTTATACACGACAGATATATTTTTCTAGAATTTAATTGCCCATAATTAAGGGTGCATATAACACACGAGTGCGTATTATACACGAATAAATAAGTCTTGTGTACATTGATCAATCGGAAGGAGTGCTAATTGGGATTGTTCACTAGCCAATATATTAGCAAATATCGCAGTGGGTGCTTATTAGAGCGGGGCGCTTATTACGTCGAATACGGTAATACCATTTTGCCAATTCCATGATGGCTTCTTAGGTGACAGATACCTTCGATGACAATAGATTGGATTGATGTAAGTGGTCCCCCTTTTGGGGTGTTTTCTTGATCAATCAGACAAGAGCTGTAACTTGGCAGCCATTTTGTTATCTGGCCAAGGAGTCTCTCATCTGCATCATTACTGTAAATCGTGAAATTAATGCGTCTCCAAAAGAATGCGACCACTGGACCCTAGCCAAAAAATGCGACACCCCCTCCTCTCAAGCATCAGTGGATTTCTATCCAAAGAAAATGTCCTCAGTCAGGTTTAGAATCCTCACCTTAATCCAACCTTACATTAATCCAATCACACACCAAATAGCACCGCTTATTAGCGCTGAGTGAAGTACTTCCGCAAAAACAATACATGCTGGCTTGTGTCGGCCTTTGACGCAGTCGCAAAGAACAAAGGATGGCGTCTGTCTGGATTTGCAGGTGTGATCAGTGATGACATATGTGAGTAGAGCTTATGTCTTGACCCCAGCAGTGACAATTCACAGGATGTAATTAGTGTTTGAATGACATTGTTTATATACTTTATATACAAGTGCTGTTCAATAAACAGTGGTGTGGATTACATCAGCGTATGTCTAAGTTGGTATTTTCTGCTATCCAAAATGTTTTATTGTTGATATAAATGCGATGTTTAAAAATGCGAGCAAAGACCACTCGCATTTTTCGCATTTAATTCACGCTCGCGTTGATTTCAAGATTTACAGTATTTGCGGCAGAGTTTGACGATTTGCACCACAAAATGTTTTCTGATTAACTTTATGTAAATCGCAATGCTTGTTAGGCTGCATGTTTTGACATCGGAACCAAATATCATTAACGATATGCTAATGACTATAACAGGCAAATGAGTTCGTTTTACTTTTTCAAATTCGGGACTGACAAAAATTGGAGGGGACTTAATTTTTCACTGGTTGGTTTGTTGTTTAACGCCGTACTCAGCAATATTCCAGCTATATGATTGCGGTCTGTAAATATTTGAGTCTGGACCAGACAATCCTGTTATTGATATCAAGAGCATCGATCCACGCAATTGGAATCAATGTCATGCATCAGCCAAGTCAGCGAGCCTGACCACCCGATCCTGTTAGTCGTCTCTTACGACAAGCATAGTCCCTTTTTACGGCAAGCATGGGTTGCTGGAGACCTATTCTACCCCGGATCTTCACGGGTCTAATCTTTCCCTGGGACTAGCAGTATCAAATGCCAGCAGGAACACTGATAATAATCAATAAATGCAGACCCATCAATATGAGTGATTGAGTTGGGTTTAACGCTGCTTTTAACAGTATTCCAGTTATATCACGGCATGTCAGCTTAATGAGGGAGGAAAGCCTGAAGTGATGCAGGTCTCAGACATTTACCACTTGGGTCAAACCCACGAGCATGGGTATGGTGCTTACAAACCTAGAAACATAATCATTCGGGGTTCGAACCCACAATCATAGGTTTCTGGCGTGCCCAAGGGACGCAACTCTGCACTGAGAATTGCGGCACCTTAGACGACTGTGCCACCCCTATAGGTATAGCAGGTGTCATATGTATAGCTTTTTCTCTTTTTCTCTTCATACACTATAGTTCAGATCTGGCGAACATTCTACATATCTTTTTAAAAACAAGGAGTGGAAACACAACAATATGAAACCATGTGCTCTTGTGTATGGGTATATTTAAACATCTTGAAAACACAATTTCATAGAATGATTTAAAGATTTCCACTAGTCTGAATTCTGAGTATTTATCTTTTTCTGAGATAGGTCTAGAATGTCTTAGTTTAACAATTTCCAATAGAAACAAGGAACAAAAATAGACCCTTGATAGTACACTGTTGTGGGTGTGGAAGTCAAAGTGCTCAGAAACAACAGGATGCATATAGTTGGCTTTACTTTTTTGCATTTGGAACTCCTCAATTACAGTTGTTTTCTCATATTAATGCTTTTCTGACTAGCCCTGATGTACTGGGGACCTGTTCTTAGGAATATTAAGAGGAAAAGAAAATCTTCCTACAATAGAAGGCCTTTTATTTGTCAGAGTTTTATGAGATATGAATTCATTCAGAAAACTCATGGTATTAATAACCACCTTATGGCTTGACATCAAACGGAAACACACAGTGGCATCAAAGTAAATTTAATTGTCCTTGTCATTTACGATATTGTGCATATAAAATGAACACATTAATTGTCTGTGTGTCTGTGTTCTGTGTTCTGACATAAAAGAACATTGTAACCTATGTACTGATAACTGGTCTCTCGTTTAATTGTCCTTGACTTTGTACAGGTCAAAGGTCATGTCTGTTATTGGGGTCATATGTTCATAAGATTTTGCACTGTGATCAGATAATCAGATTACCGTTTTGTTCATTAAGCAAACACACACATTATATATCAGTTTCCAAATGTGACCTTTATTAAATTTAAAATTAACTCCATATATACCATATTTGACGTAATAAGTGCCCCGCTCTACTAAGCACCCACGGCAATATTTGCCAATATATTGGCTAGTGAACAATCCCAATAAGCACCTCTTCTGATTGAACAATGTACACAAGACTTATTTATTCGCGTATTATACGCACTCGTGTGTTACATGCACCCTTACTTATGGGCATTTAATTGTGGAAAAATATATCTGTCGTATATAAACATTTCAGGCTGTCAGCATTAACCACGAAATTTAGCTTTCACCAAAATAATATTGTAATAAGAGCCCCCTATTACTAATTTTGAGAGTGCTCTGGGTGCTTATTACATCGAATACAGTAGTGCAAGACATTCTAGACAAAGCATTTATTATACAGTCAAACATAAACAGTTCTATTTAAAAAAACAACACTAGAAACATTTTTACAGTTGTCAACCCTCCCAAAAAGGGGCCAGTCCAAACATCTGCTGAGGTTAAAATAAACAAAATCCAGAAAACAGTATATTACAAAAGATTTGATTGGCTGATTTGATTGAATTGTCAGTAGAGTTATAGTGTATAGTGTAGAGAATGACAATGTAATGTCATACTGATCTTTTCACAGACAATAAATTACTAGAATCAGTGTTGTGTTGTAGGTGACCCTGACCTTGCCCTGGGATCATGAAACTATACTTAAGACAATATTTTGTCTTAAATCGGGGATCACGAAGCTCAATCTATGATTATATCTTAAGTCTAAGACAAAAATTTGATCTTAAGTCCTAAGACTGCCCTTGAGTAGACTTAAGAAAAAAATTGTTGCAAGAAAGATGGCGGAGGTTGTTCGCCTCATGCGTCGCCTATGGGCTAAAAAGGAAAAAATAGCAATTCAGCGGACATCTCGAGACTGATTCAAGTCCCTGGGGTGGTTGTTTACTGTGTTGTAGATGCCCCTCTCCATGTAAGTGTTTTGTTTGTTTGTTAGTTTGTCTGTTTGTTTGTTGTTTAATGCCACACTCAGCAATGTTCCAGCTATATGACGGTAGTCTGTAAAAAAATCAAGTTTGAACCAGACAATCCTGTGATTGATATCATGAGCATCGATCATGCAATTGGGAAATGATGACATGCATCAACCAAGTTAGCGAGCCTGACCACCCGATTCTGTTAGTCGCCTCTTACGACAAGCGTAGTCGCCTTTTCCTGCAAACGGGTTGCTGAATACCTATTCTACCCCGGATCTTCATGGGTCTGTTGTGTTGTAGGTGCTGTGCTTCATGACATCGTCAAGCCCCTGGGGTGGTTGTTGGGGAAGTGGAGATCGGACGATGGCAAGGGAAAATACCCAACCATGAAAGACTTCAAGTATGGAGAAGAGGTGGAGTTTTCCCATGTTGGACAACCAAATTTACAGTTCAGGTATAGTTATAGGACTGCACGTCACTATCAGTATAGTTATAGGACTGCACGTCACTATCAGTATAGTTATAGGCCTGCACGTCACTATCGGTATAGGGGCGGTCGGGTAGCCTAGTGGTTAAAGCGTTCGCTCATCATGCCAAAGACCCGGTATCGATTCCCTACATGGGTACAATGTGTGAAGCCCATTTCTGGTGTCCCCTGCCGTGATATTGCTGGAATATTGCTAAAAGCGGCGTAAAACCATACTTACTCACTCACTCACTATCAGTATACTGCAATACATTTTTCAAACGATATTTTTTCTGTGTTTCGATATATTGGGTATTATTATTTGTATGAATTAACCTAGAATGTACACAGAAATGTATTCACAAATGATGTTTCTCTTCAAAATTGAATAACAAAATTTCGGAAATGCTGAAGTGATTTTTCTTTCTCAGCAGTAGCTCTCCGTGCTGATTTTGACATCGTAATATTGACTTTTGAATGTTTAGTATGTAGAAAATGGTATCTGCATGTTCAATCAGTGTTCAACACTTTAACTCCCAATATATCGCGGTATGTGTCGCAATTATGATACCGACCGCGTGATTTTTCATATTACTATAGATAATCTGTTGTGCAGATTAACTATAGTAATATGAAAGAATGGTTGGCCCCTAACTTTTTTTAGTAATATATAGAGGTTATCACGCAAGTGTATTTGGGGATGGTAAATAGCCTTTATTAGAAATAAACATTGCATTTAGTGAGATTTGACAAACTTAATACATAATGTTTATTCCTAATACAGGATATTTACCATCCCCAAACACACAAGCGGCATAATCTATTTATCATATAATGTCATTCTTCAATTCTTACAAACATTACCTACACACTGCAAGTTTTCCTGGAAAGTGTACATTAATATATATCACGTCACAGGGTAAGTGATGTGTCAGTCGGACAGTGACAGAAGCCAGTATAGTAATTACTGAAACCTGTTTCTTATACAGTGGCGTAACTAAAGTACTGAAAATAATGACCCTTCCCAAAAAGGCAATTGCATTTCATATTTTATTATGTCATGCTCATTGTTGCAGGACCCTGCCCAAATAAGTGTGAACTACGTGTTGACATAGAATCGTCAAACAATAACAAATATGACTTTTAACGAGTCAAAGTATGGCATTTATGATACATGTCTCCATTCTCTGTCAACTAATGTTTGTTTTAAGGCGTCAGTATAGCGGTAATCTGCCCGTGGTTGCTGTTAATAACAGTGAGTTGTGCGATCTTCCGATCGCTTCACACACGATTTCGCCAAAATTAATTAAAACAATATTAAAAGAGATTTGGAAAAAAATTAATGAAATAAGTTACAAACATAAGTCCAGATATACAAAGAACACTTTTTTTAGCCAGACAGTGTAATTTCATGATTAATTTGCATACTTCAGTATGGATTTGTTGACTAGGTATTTTCGGTGTTACGTGCTCATGGTAATGTCTTTCCATGGGGGGGGAAAAACATCAAAATTCATTATTTCGTGTATAATGCGCACCCCCTTCTACACAGCTGTGTTTTTTGGAAAAAAAAGTGTGCACTATACTCAAGAAAATACAGTATTATTTTTTATGACCCTGTCCTAAAACTGTCATATTTTTTTGGTGACTCTCCCCATATTTCCTCCGACCCACCCCACCCTGTTATTAATGTTATTAATGAATATGAATCTAAAGTTCTTGTTACGTTTGTTGATACGCTTGTGTCCTGTAATAATTGTATGTATACAAGACCTATGAGTGTTGTAGTCAACGTCTTTCATCTTCAGTGCTTACTCTTGGCATTCAGACACCAAGCAGCCTCTCCATAGAGAACTTGGATTTGTTCGTATCAAGCCAGGCACAAACCAAGTGGCCTTTGTACTTGCTCAAAATATAGGTGAGTGCATAATAAACATGTATTTAGAAAATATCCAACGAGCTATGAGGGATTATAGGTTTTCTGTCCTTAGTAATGGATTATAAGTACCAAGCTTTTGGAGAGGGGTGAGGGACTTATACCCCGCTCACGTGTGCCTCAAATCAAACAAATGTTGCTTTACACGAATATTTTTGGTGAAGTAACTCTCTTCTCATTCAACTTTGATTGGAAAACAACCTGTTTTGTGTTGAAAGCCGTGAACAGACTGACGAATATGTGTGCCTTACACAATTTACATACTTTATTTACACAGCTAAGATGCTTTTCATGTGAACACATAGTAAATTTACATATACGCACATATGTATAGTTACACATGGGTAAAATTACTTACATTAGTAAATGTTGTGCATGTGTATTACCTTATTCATTCAAGGGGGTTTAACAGTCTGTAGTTTTGTGTCTCAAGTTGGTTACTCTGCATTATAGCTAAAATGGATAGAATTATCATTAAACTGCCTGCATGTTACCAGAAATCAGCGAGTGACTGTAACTTGATAATGCCCTCATATTGCTTGGGTTGTTAGGTGACGTCATAGGGTAGGGATAGGTGACGTCACATTCAATAGTGACGTCATCTGGTTTGTTATATGACGTTTCCATATTTGTAAAAGTGGGTCAGTGACATTTGTGTTGCAGTAAATATTTCAAAATCGATATTGTTGTTTCTTTTTATTTGATAAATTCCATCCATTTTAGCTATAATAACGGTAACGCTATTTTTCAGGGCATTATTTGCAGAAGCCCTCGGTCTTTTCAACTGCGCTCCTTTGTCAGGCAGTTAATGGAAGACCTCAAGCTTCGGAAAATGATAATGCCCTGAAAAATAGCATTACCCTTAGAGTATTACATATTGTCATGTCATCAAAAAATGAGGAATTGTGGACAAAATGTCAAACCTGCAAAGAATCTATCACTGAAGTCCGTCTGTTGTTCTGATGACTTAATTTTATCAATTCAAATACTTCCGTCATAATGTTTCAACGTACCAACAGGAACAGAGATTGAAGCATGCAAATTCGGGAAAGTTTCGAAAAAACAAGCATGTGGCCATTTTTCAACAGATTAAGATGACGTACCGCGATATGTTTGCATTATAAAATATGATAATGGGATTTGACTGGATTTGTGATGACTTCTAAAAGTTAACACAACACAGACTTGAATACATTGATTACATTGGAGATGGTCTGAAGGCTCTATATTACAATCTCATTAAAATCAGATCTTATAATAGTACTCGCTACCGCTAAACAAAGATCTGAGGACATCCCATTAGGGGTCACGTCAGTTCAACCTTAGAATGTGATTTCTACTCATGCAATCTCGAAAACTTTAACATGGGGTATTCCGAACGATAGTTACGGGTTTAACGACTGAATCCTTACAATCTAGACCATCTATTAGTCATTCCAGAATGTTTTTTTGTTCAGGTTTCAAATTTGTAATCGAGAATTTGTCAAAATATGCTTTGAAGCGTAGTCGCCAATTTGAAATTTGTGCCGTAAAGCACGAGAAAGCTGCCTTCTGATTGGTCATTCCATTGGTTGGTCAAAGTTCGCAAGGTCAGTCTGACCTGACCCGTAATGGGATGTCCTCAGATCTTTGTTTAGCGGTAGCGAGAACTAAGATCTGATTTGAATGAGATTGGTATATTACAATCTGCAATGTAGACACTTTTTAGAATGATTAATAACGTAACTATATCTTTACTGCCAGGACTGTGTGAGATTGAAGAAGGGGAGGTAACTGGGGAATCTCTGAAGACAACCTCACATACTCTAGGAAGACTGACATTTGGGAAGCCACCCCAGACAAAACAGGTGAGAACCTTCAACATAGAAATGTGTAATTTAAATTTCAAATTGCTGTCTAGGTCCAGTTTGACAATATATGTCTGGAAAAATGAAACATGACAGTATTATGCGACTCAAATAGACCACATCTTTGTCTAAAGATGAATATTAGCAAATGTTGAGTAATGTTCAATCTCATTAAAATCAGATTTTGTTTTAATAAGTTGAATGTGTATGAGCAGAATTACATTGCAATAATTCCTCTACAAATTTGTTGTTTGTTTGTTGTTTAACGTTGCACTCAGCAATTTTCGAGCTTTATGACGGCGGTCTGTAAATAATTGAGTCTGGACCAGACAATCCAGTGATTGACATCATTAGCATCGATCCTTGCAGTTGGGATATGATGACATGCATCAACCAAGTCAGCGAGCCTGACCACCCGATTCTGTTAGTCGCCTCTTACGACAAGCATAGTCACCTTTTAAGGCAAGCATGGGTTGCTGAAGACCTATTCTACCCCGGATTTTCACTTGCTTTCACTCTCTCCTTCCTAAACCAACAAAAACTCTTCAATGCTTTTAATAGGTGCAGTATTTGACTTTGGATAAACTCTGTAATCTTTTTCAGATAATAAGAGAATTCAAAAGATCTGGTGACAGCCTTGTACAAGTTGTTTCCATGGCAACAGAAAAGACTGCTATGACAGAGCATCTGCGTATAGAGTACAAGAAGATTTAAGGAGTAATTAATTCGCATTCTGATTTATTCATGCGGGTATGTGTTTTATATACAATTTATTCAGAACAAAGTATTTCTATAGACAAAAAAGTGGCATTGGTTTCTTATTTTATATCTTTTTGTAGATTTTTTGCTTTTGCATTCAGACTGGTCTTATAAACTTAATAAAATCAATATTGGGTAACTGATTGTTCTGTTTTTGTTAAACACTGCCGAATTCTGTTTACAACTCTGAAAACAACAAGTTGAAAAATAAAAAAAATAAAATGTAATAATAAACAGTCGCGATGTGATGACGTGCATCAACCAAGTCAGCGAGTCTGACCACAAGGGCCCACTTGCACAAAGCGATCTTAGCGCTAAGATGATTGTATATCCCATACTTTAACATAGGCTTACAATAGTTGTAGTGTTAAGATCGCTTTGTGCAAGTGGGCCCAGATCTTGTGTAGGCTCTTACGACAAGGATTGGGTTGGTAAAGAGCATTTCTAACCCGGATCTTCACGTGTCGGACTGGAGATGAACGAAGAGGTGCATATTAAAGCATGACACGTTGAAACGCAGCAGCTTGAGTTCTGATACAAATGGGGGCGGTCTGGTAGCCTAGTGGTTAAAGCATTTGCTCGTCACGACGAAGACCAGGGTTTGATTCCCGACATGGGTACAATGTGTGAAACCCATAACTGGTGTCCCCTGCCGCCGTGATATTACTGGAATATTGCTAAAAGCGGCGTAAAACCGTATTCACTCACTCTGATACAAATGAGCATGTGTGCCGCAATCTCATTGGTTCAAATTTGTAATATGTGATTTTGAACCACATCCTGGTACAGTTTTTATGCCAACCATAGTATCATATTATCATGTCATTTTAGAATGACCTTGTGTAAGTCTCACTGTTTGTAGAAAGAGAATTCTACAGATAATTACATATAACTTTAGTTGTTACAAAGTCATGAACTCGATGCATTTACATATTTTCCAGGTGTTTTTGTATATTCCATGCAGCACCAATTCTTGGCACTGAATATTCATTAACTGCAAATCTAGAAAAAAACATAATTCTTCACCTAAATGGTACACAATATTGGGGAGCCTTATGAAAATATAAGAACAGTTATTTTGCTGATATATTTTACATAATATTGTTCAGTTTGCATGTTAAAAATGCGTTGTCTCATGGAATGGATCATGAAAAAGGATCTACATGATTTGGAAAAGGAAAGCCCAGTATTTTAAAAAAAAAATAATCTCTACTGTAGTCGGATGGATGAAAAATATCTGACTTGAACATGTTTATAATGAACAAATTTCTGAATATCAGTTTGACTTCAGTGAATAGGCAAAAAAGGAAATATAGTTTACTTTATTTTTCAGGAAAGATTTCTTTTTATATTGAAAGTGTTCTTTTCCCATGAGAAGACAATGTTTGAAATAATTAAGTCAGCATTTCCTTTACTCTGATCCTGAAAATGTAAAGTGAAACAGTACATTTGTTCGTGTAGCGGCCATAAAATTTCCGAGTACTGTGATTGGATTTGAACCACGGACCTTCTGATCAGAGGTCGGACGCCTTGTCCACATGACCAAATAAGTTAACCCCGTTGGCAAGCTGACAAGGTAAGGATGTCATTTGTGGGACGACTCCACGCCCTGGTACATACTCCCCCGTCAACAGAAGGCACGTCCCGGGCCGCGTAGTAGGGTACTGAGGCTTATTTTGTTCAAATTTAATATGAATGTGCTCAGCCCAAGTTGGGCGCCACTGTTGCGGCCATAAAATTTTCGAGTACCGTGATGGGATTCGAACCACGGACCTTCTGATCAGAGGTCGGACGCCTTGTCCACATGACCAAAGAGGTTAACCCCGTCAGCAAGCTGACAAGGTAAGGATGTCATCTGTGGGATGACTCCACGCCCTGCTCCACTGACAAGGTAAGGATGTCATCTGTGGGATGACTCCACGCCCTGCTCCATAAGCAATAATATGACAACACATGAAGTTAATTAATGTATTTCTATATAAAACCATACTGAAGTATGGTCCCATGTTTTCCAGACACGAACACTCTGTTAGTTTTGTCCACCAGTAGGCATCTTGGCTCCAGAAGATGGCGCTCTGCAGTGTTCCGTGAATACAACAAATTACCTTCTTGATCAAAGATGGATATCTCATTCCGTAGACTATCGGACACAATGACACGCCCATCCACTGTGACACAGGCGTCCCAGGGGTGCCACCCAACTACGTTGTCCCCCGAGGAGAACTGTCGGTATATCTCCAGCACTATACCCTGAGATTCTGACTCGATGTACACAGCTCCATTATTGGCCCACGTGGCCATGATGACCCTGTCACTGTGAACATACTTCATGGACATGACCGGACCTGGTACCCTACTTGTCCAACATCGCTTCAAGCTTCCATATATATTGAACAGCTTCATTTCATTCCGCGGCAAGTTGCCGATGAGGATCCCGTCTTGAAAGTTTGAGACGACTGGAAATGACGTAATGGGTGTTGTGTCTTTAGACAGAGTGGCTGTTTGGGTGACAATCATGTCATAGTTGTAGTACAACAGGACATTGCCGTGCACTGCAGCAAATCCTTTGTAATATGCTGTCATATGGTTGAAAAAAGTGGTTTCGTTTTTTCTAGCACCTGCCAGAAAATCTCCCATTTTGTTCACCATCTCGATCTTGTAGTTGTTTTCATCGATGAAGTATATGCTGTCGTCCCTGCCAAACACCATGCAGGTGATGTTGGGGATGTTCCAGTCGCTGTGCAGTCGTGTGAAGAAGTGGTGTATGTAGATCAGTGTTTTGATCGTCTGCCTACATCTCCTCGTATTTGTCTGTGCTGTCCTTCGCTCTCTCTCTGCAACTGTTTTCTCACCGTTCTCAACATCTGTACTGCAACAGGAACCTTGGCTTGAACTTGATTTACAGGTTGCCATGGATGCAGTTTCTACTTCATCTTTAAGGCAGTCTGCTTCATCATCCTTTTTCTTGGTTTTACCTGATTTCATGTTGGTCCCTAGAGCCATATCCTCCTTATGTTGGATGTCTTTCACACATAGACTTTCTTGTTTATTATCTTTAAGGACCAATTGCAATTCAGAATCGCCCTTTTCTGTGTCTCCGACTGTACTCTTGGTGGCTAAGCTGCTCTTCTTGATGTCTTTAGATGAACATGTCTTTTCAGCAACTTTATCATAATGTGGCATATCTTTCCAAACAAATTGTCTTGTGCCTGTTCCATCTGAAGGTGAAACTTTTTCATTGTGAAGTTCTGATAAGTAGTCTTTGATACTTTTGGAAGGCTTCGCTGCACATCCTGTGTTTCTTTCTGGGATGTCAATATGTGTCATACAATCCTCTCCATCTCCATCATCGGCTGAATTTGCTTCTGAGACTGTAGCAGCCTTGTCCTCGTCATTAGTTTTCACCATGTCATCGCTCATGGCAACAACTGTATCTTTTTCCTTGACATCAACATCAGCCTTGACATCATCTGTGATTTTGGCCTGGGCATTAGCTCTGTCTTCAGGCATAATATCAACTTTGTCATTGGCCTTGGCATCAAGTATGTCTGTATCCTTGTCATCTTCTGGACCTCTAGCCTTGCCATTTTCTGTATCTTCAGTTGTGACATCAACCATGCCTATAGCCTTGTCAATCATGATGTTATCGACAGGGTCCTTCTTCGTATCACCCACTATTACATCTCCGATCATGTCGCTTTCTTCATCATTAGTCTTACCATCAACACATACTGTTTTTCTACCTTTAGTTTGTTTAAGAGGTTTTGTGGAATCAAACCTTGACAGATCCAAAACACTTCCTGTCTTGCTGCTGTTTCCAACACTGACTTTCGGAGCTATGAATGAGAACACTCCATTCTGACCAGCACTGGATATGGCTAAATCCACCTCTTCTTCATCCAGTTCTTCTGTACATGATAACACATCTGACCCCGGAGAATACCCTGCAATATTTAGCCTGAGTTTCTTGTGGTGGAGCAAAGGATTGTTCACTACATCGTCTGGCAGAGACTTCATACCTGCCTCTAAGGCATCCCCCATAACAAGCACCTGCAACCCCCCACACTCCATGACCTTGTTGTACATTCCGAAGACCCCTGTGGACAAACTGCTGAGGTGATTACTAAGCATCGCACGCTCTTTTTGAAAGAACTCGTGACACTTTTTCCGCATCTGTTTGCTTTCCATTTGAATTTGCTGCACACAGGCTGTTGTTTCCTCCATCAGCTTCTTATTAAACTGCTTTTCTTCTTTATCTAAGTTGCTTAATCTTTTCTTTATTTGGCTGACTGAGAAGTTCTTGGGCACCACTTTTTCCAAAGCAGTCTTTCTTTCCTGCACAGCTTCTTCTATTGATTTGTGAAGGTGTGTTCTGTGTTCATCAAGGGCACAGCGTTCACAGATTAGAATTGAACAGGTAGTGCAATACAATTTGTAATTCTCTCTGTGAATTAAACAGACAATTCTCTGTCTGCTCATGATCTGCATATCGTGGCGACCTTTAATCAAATCACTTAGGCAAGCAAGGAAGTGATTGGAAGTGGTCGTGGAGGAGTTGTGACCCCTACTGCAAGTTTGGCAAAGCTTATCACCACAGTCCAGACATTTATAGGCAGCTGATGACTTCCTTTTTTTGACAGAGCAAACTAGACAGTATTCTTTGTCAGCTTTTCGACAGGCTTGCACTTCTTGGAGCCCTGTGATGTATATGTTTGGTGGAAGAGTGAATCCTGTGACATCATAGGCCTCGCTTTCATCGTAGCAGGTTGGGCACCAGAAGACGTAGCGGTCCATGTAAAGAACGGCACACTCAGTCGCGATGCACATGCGACAAAATGTGTGACAACATGGGAGCATTTTGGGCTCAAGGAATTCCAGCCTACAGAGAGGACATACTAGATCCTGTCTCGCTATGGTGATTGGAGAACAGATGGGTTTCTCTGATGAGGTCATTGCGTTGTTTCTGGAACAAAAGATAGAAATAACAATTTAAATAGGCCCCAAATATCCCATGCTTTGCGTAATAATAAACTATGCTTTGCATAATAACAAACTAATGGGAATCTGAATAAGTATGTGTCAAGCTCTCCAGCGGCATTATTTGCTGTTCATTCCATCAACCATTGATTTGCCTGATTTAGTGAGTGAGTGAGTGAGTTGGGTTTAACGCCGCTTTTAACAGTATTCCAGTTATATCACGGCGTGTCAGCTTAATGTGGGAGGAAAGCCAAAGTGATGCAGGTCTGAGACCTCTTTGATGAAACCCACCAGCACGGGTATGGTGCTGACAAACCTAGAAACATAATTGGGGTGAACCAGGATTCAAACCCACAGTCATAGTTTTCTGGCATGCCAAAGGGACGCAACTCTGCACAGTATTTGTGGCGCCTTAGACGACCGGGCCACCTGTGCCCCAACTGGTTTAGTCTATGGTTATGTACAGGCCGTGATAAAGACTGAATCAATTGTTGACTGGTATAATACAGCATTACCCATGGTTAAATATTTCGTGTGGACTGATTGAATGCAAGAAGTCAGTGAATGAATGTAGCTGGCAAGATCACAGATCCTCCCAGAGTCATAGAGCAAACAATGCAACCACGGAGGTTAATAATCCACCATCGGTCAGGTCACACATTTTAACCGACCAATCCCAATTTCAGTTTCAGTTTTATGACAAGCATGACATTCGGGAGATTTATTCTGCTCTGGTAGTCTGGGATTGACTTGTCATGATTGTGTTCTGCTCTCCGCTTTTTAGTGTGTGTATCCTTAGTTTGTTTTATTTATTGCATTACAGCATTCAGTAATATTTAAGGTATATACTGGGCCAAGCAAACAAGCTTTTGATAAATGACCAATGGTCCACGCCTTGTAAGTACGGTGACACCAATCAGACACGTCAGAGCCATCTTCCCGAGGCAAGAGAGTTAACTGAATATAAAAGTCCAGTTTCCACCCTTGCCAAGCTGCGAAATCCGGTTCGTAAACTATCGTGCAGATTTAGGTCGATTGCAGGATTTGCAAAGCATGTGCACCACCAACTCGTTACCAACAGATATTTTTCGAACCTTTTCATGTTTTTAATCAAGGTGCTCATGTGAGTTGATTCACTTCGCGATGTAAGACCCGTTTTATCACAATATAGATCTTGATTATCGATCAGATCATTTTGACTGCGCGCCACCATTTTGTTTGAAACAAATGCAAGTGATGGAATCGGATTGGTCCAGAGGAGAGGCCCAGAAGGGACATAACTCATAATAACCACTGGTGGCGCTACCATCGAGCCCAGGAATTCCAGCCAAGTTCGGCAAGGGTGGAAACTGGACTTTAAAGTCCGTTAACTCTCTTGCCTCGGGAAGATGAGTCAGAGCCTGATCACCCGATCCCCATTTCAGCATGAAGTAATGGGAACAGTTCTAACCAGGAATCCCTACATGGTGTGCTAATAGTACTTGCGTGTCAGGGCTTCCGGTCAATTTGAAAAAGGCTATCTTAAGTGGGAGGAAATCCTGAAGGGACACAGGCCAGAAACGTTTGGTATTATGGTTAAACTCATAGCAGAGAATTAATGCGAATCCACCGTGAATATTCCGGTCAGAATAGGTCTTCAGCAACCCATGCTTGCCGTAAAAGGCGACTATGCTTGTCATAGGAGGCGACAAACAGGGTCCCGTGGTCAGGCTTGCTGACTTGGTTGATGCATGTCATCAATCCCAATGTCGTGGATCAATGCTCATGATATTAATCACTGGTTTGTCTGGTCCAGACTCCATTATTTACAGAACGCTGACATATAGCTGGAATATTGCTGAGTGCGGCGTGAATCAACAAACAACCAACCAAACCATGGGGACCCTGGATATTTTAAGTGGGAACAGCGAAACACTACTCCAACATTGGTGCGGCCAGCCCAGATGTTAACATTATTGAAAATGTATGGAGGAAATTTTAAATTTAGCTGCAGCGACGAGTGCATGGCATCCAGTGCCGTGAGGATCTGACCCGTGCTGCTTTTGGAGATTTTGTCTTCCTTCACTCACGCAAACATGAGATCTCCTTACGCCATTATACTCCCGTGAACATGGTGAACAAGGAGCCGCGCGATGTCCTGAGAGTTAATGGTGTATAACAAAGTGTAATTTCAAGTAAACAGGTCTACGTACATCTTGTATTTAGGTCTATTTCTACAAATTACAACTTTCGTGCGTTTTTCTCCTAACAAGTTTGCACTGCGGCTGCCATCGTGTGGAAGTACCTACATTACCCGGGACTGTTTATGTTGTAAAAGGGGGCACGGGTGGCCAAGTCGCCTAAGGCGCCGAAATTCGCTGTGCAGAGTTGCGTCCCTTGGGCACGCCAGAAACCTATGATTGTGGTTTCGAATCCCGGTTCGCCCCGATTATGTTTCTAGGTTCGTCAGCACCATACCCGTGCTTGTGGGTTTCACCGAAGTGGTAAACGTCTTAGACCTGCATCACTTCGGGCTTTCCTCCCACATTAAGCTGACACGCCGGGATATAGCTGGAAAACTGTTAAAAGCGGCGTTAAACCAAACTCACTCACTCACTATGTTGTAAAATGGTTCACTATTCGGATAATATATAAAGTGGATGATGTCTTGTTTTGTTTAGGATGGGTAAGTTAGATTAGACGACGCTTTGATCAACATTCCCACCGGTGTTGACACATGAGGATGACATGCTGAACATAAAAACGTACGACCAGGAAACGCACATTCCTATTTCAGCTGAAAGTACCGGGATGACACATTCGGTGCTTACACTTGTGTGATGTTGAATCATGAAAGTTTACTGATTAGTGTTGCATGTACACGGTGTATACAAATTAGGGCGCCCCACCCCTACACCCACCCCTGAATTCCGCACCAAATGCGCATGCGCACAGGCGACTTGTTCAAAGCAGCCCTTTAAGAGAGAGTTTTCAGCTCTTTTTTACACACATTCTATATCTTTTGTTAAGTGTTTCCTGCATTGTTCTTTCAACTAAGACAATATACACTTTACAAAGCGCTATAACATGTATAGATTATGCTAAGCTTGTCCAATGATACATTTGTTCTGAAATCAGGGTTACATTTTACGCCAGAGCAGCCAGCCCTATGAACCTGAAAATGGGCGAAAATAGAAACATTGGGATAAACTTAAAAGCGTTCATGAACCTTAAAATACACTTCTGTCTCTTGTCGACTTCGTTGTTGATAAAGTTGACTTCATGTTCTATTCAATAATACAAAATATACGAAAATACAAATACCATCTATTTTGTCACTATAAGTCTTACTGGCTCATCCCTGAATCCCAAATACTACTTAACAATGTACATAAACATCAAAAGCACATGTCATAATCCACTCTACAAAGGCAGAATACGGTATTACCCACACACACAGAGCTCCAGATAACATTTTGAGCCATTGAGTTTTTACTCTAGGTTTTCGATTTGCATTGGGTTATTTCATTTTTCAAATTGGGTAACCAATATATTTTCACTCACCTTTTCATCACACTTTTGGGCTTTTCCTTAAAAAAGTGAACATTTTAAGACTTTGAAAAAAAGAAATAATGTTTTATATGTATATAACTGTTCTAAATATATAGGCTTGACTCGGAAAGTAAATTAGCTCGTAATTGTGTTTCGGAAATTAGCTACTTATTTTTCTTTATTGTGTATTTACGCGTGCTGTTCTTTTACATTTGAGTTTTTCATTTAATGCATGTGTTTCTGTACGCAAGTTTATTGAAAGTAATTGGGTTTAGAATATTTTTTGGGGGTATGCGCTGCTTATCTGTAGCTCTGAATACAACAAAAACAGTGTACACATGCTGAAAAGTCTTCGTTGGGTATTTGCTCATGCCGTTTTCAAACAATTGAGTTTTTCAATTAATGCTTGCGTTTCTGTACGCAAGTTAATTGAAAGTGATCTGGTTTTGAATATATTTTTGGGATATCTTACGCCGCAAATACGCTGCTCATCTGAAGCTCTGTAACACATCAATGTTTTTTTCTGACTCGATCGGATAGATGTTCATTTGGTCGCGTGAAAACAAATTTTAAAGTTTCTCTGCTCTGGTCTTCTTTGTGAGTAAATGTTGCTTCTAAGAACATGATAAAAGGCCATGAAATCAACGATGGGTTGATTGAGAAATTCTAGACCTCACATGGACGGACCTGCGTAAGAGCAGACATTACATGAAAGCCACAAAAATGAGACAACTGAGCAAATTTCTTCGCTTTTTCAGTTAATAAAATAAGCAGGAGCCTTTGACCTTTGGAAAATGGAAAGACTTGAGGAACATGCAGTGATCAAGAACTTATATATTTTGTTTGGACTTGGCAAGAACTTATCAATCAGTCCTTGTATATATAGAGACAATCCACCTTTCTACAACTGTTAAACAACACTGATGCTTATAACTATTTTATCATATTAGTGGAAGGATTTTTGTGGATAAATTCTAAGTATATAAAATATGACAGTGATATGTAAAATATTTAAAAAACGGATTTACTTGGTACTGTATGTTTGGGGGATTACCTGGTTCTGTAAGTTACCCCTACACACATACCTCTGAGTGAGTGTGTGCGTGAGTATGGTTTTACGCCGCTTTTAGCAATATTTCAGCAATATCACGGCAGGGGACACCATGAAAGCATGAAGAATGTCCGAGCGAGCGCTGCTGTTTATTTTGTTTGTTTGTTGTTTAACGCCGCACTCAGCAATATTCCAGCTATATGACGGCGGTCTGTAAATAATTTAGTCTGGACCAGACCATCCAGTGTGATAATGTGATAAGACTGCAATAATACTGACTGCATCGGATAAAACACCCAAACACTCATCGTCAACAATCAGCTGTTGTCAAAATGTATGACCTACGATGTTTTTTGTTGTTTTACGCCGCACTCAGCAATATTCCAGCTATATGACGGCGGTCTGTAAATAATCGAGTCTAGACCAGACAATCCAGTGATTGACATCATGAGCATCGATCAACGCAATTGGGATACGATGACATGCATCAACCAAGTCAACGAGCCTGACCACCCGACCCCGTTAGACCTCTTCTACCCCGGATCTTCACGCTGTAACGATCGAGTACATTTTACTGTAAGACGTTATCTCCGTGTTTTAGGTTTTCGGACGCTTAAGAAAAATTCGTAGTTTTCTCTCTAATCACATGAACAACTGTAAAACATCTCATTCACTAATAAAAGACAATTTTCTCTTAAAAACAAGCCGTCATCATGAGTATTTACAATGACTGTGTGATAACAAAACGATAAAATTATCGTAATTTTCATGCATATAAAAGAACAGGCTCAGCAAGTTAATGTGTCCTTTCAAATACATTAATATACTTACCACATAAATCCAAAACTGCCTGAGTTTGAATTCCGACAAGTGAGCTCGGAAAGTACAATCATGACGGCGTCACATTCTTCGCTGTAAGGATGACGTCATCATGTTACATATCATGACGTCAGCTGTGATGTTGCCATGTAAATCATAGAACGGGCGCAGGGTCCCGTTCTCCAAAAGCGATCTTACGCTCAGTGATGAAGTTAAGCTGGGCCCGTCTCTAATATCACAGCCTAAGAGCCGGTGTAGGCCAATGAGACGATGGCTGTGAGCGCCTTCGAAATATTAAACATACACTATGTTATGTAATTTTCATTGGTCGCTATTTTTAGACGACGCGCTGCCGTTCTACAAAAGCTTCACTGAGAAACGTCACAAACTACTTTAAAGGGCAAGTTCACACGGAAATGAACCAATTTTTCTTGTACTTTTTCCACATTAAAAGTGTTAACATAGAAGTGTCATAGACAAAAATATAAAAACATCATATTTAATTAACATATTTTTTGCATTAAAACGATTTATATTTTTCACATTAACCAAGTGTTCTATTTCCATAACAAAAACACCATGGCTTATGCCCCTTGCAATATGACGTCATTGGTGCCAATTGATAAACATTATGACGTCATCATGCTTTGTTAGAGCCGCTTCACGTGGTGTAGGTACAGTTTTGTGATTCTAGCGTCTCAGATGCCAGCCAGAATTGTGTTATGCTGACTCACCACTGCGCCGGAGTGTGTCGTAGACCATGTTGTTTTACCGCAAACTGGTCCTTGATATCTTTTGCGTTGAGAATAGACAGGGACCCAGTTGAATTGGCACCAATTACGTCATAATCTAAGGGGGATAACTCAGGCCTATTTCGCTCGTAAAACGAAGGCCTCATAACGGCATATTATTTTAACACTATTGTGAGCTTCCTACTTTCACTGTGAAAAAAAATGAGTGTATATTTTCAAACACAGATACTAACTAATTCTAAAATTGCGTTTTGTTTAGAAAAAGAAAGAAAGTGATTTTTGCGTGTACACTTCCCCTTTAAGTAATTTTGTTAGATGGATGGTATTTAGTAACTATTTACATAAATCAAACCTGCGTTAAGTGATTATGTTAATAAAAAAAAAGTCGTATACGACACTATAAACTTATCAATTTCTTATGTAAACAATGTTCTACGTATGATATCATATCGAACATTGACAAATATCCAAAGTGAAATTAAATGTGTAAAAAAATGTATGAAAGATATGCAAAATCTACATAATAATTATGACTGTAAAAAGTTGGATACAATGATCGTGTGTGCTTTCATTCAGCATTGTTAAAGGACCTTCACCTCAAAGAAAGTACGGGGCGGTCGGGTTGCCTAGTGGTTAAAGCGTTCGCTCGTCACACCGAAGACCCGGGTTCGATTCCCGACATGGGTACAATGTGTGAAGCCCATTTCTGGTGTCCCCTGCCGTGATATTGCTGGAATATTCCTAAAAGCGACGTAAAAACCAAACTCACTCAAAGAAATTACCAAATATGTACAACAATGTTGGCGCGTATGACATCACTACCGTCGATCGACCGACTTTTACAAAAGGCGTGTTCACTGTCAACAGTACGCGGGATTTTACGAGGGGACTTCGTTGATTCAGGGATCGTATATACACAAGTAGAGATTGCTGCAGAGCATCAATAGCTCCCCGCCATATAATGTTATGTGCAGAGGAAGGAAGTGTAAGCTATGGGAGGAGAGAACTGGTGTAAAGTACAAATTGGTTGTTATTAATGTACTTATCCTTGGAAAGCACAATAAAAGAAACAGTGTCTTTAATTGGTCAGCACAAAGAAAACCCAGGCAAGAAAACTGGGCCTGTCAGGCAAAACTTGATGTATATCCACTATTAGTACCAATAAAAAAATCCTATATAGATAACACAACAAATGTCACTCTAAAGCATGCTTTTGCAGCAAATATCAATATTTCTGGTCAAAATGTTGGTTGGTTTAAATAAAGCAAACTTTTAAAATAGCAAACACAAAAAATGTAATGAATACACTCTAAATATACTTCAGTTCAAATGTAAAAATTCACGCAATCATTAATGGATTCCCATTTATCTAGCAGCAAGTTAGGAACATACAGTTTGGTCACGTTATCTATAAATATTGAGAATTATCTTACATATTGTAAAAACAAAGGCCATAGGTCACTTTTCTCAAAACTTCGTTTAAGTAATCACAAACTAAAAATTGAAAAAATTGTAGATATACAAAAACACCAACCCCATTTGAACCATGTCTCTGTGAAACATGTGATGTCTCAGAAGATGAACAACATTACGCACTGTCTTACATAATACAACCAAGAAAGAGAATCAAAAATAATCCCCAATCATTATAAAGAATTTGGTACACTCTGTTAAAAGGAGCAGATTCTTAGTAAGTTTACCAACAGTTATCCAGAAACAACTTCCAAGATCTGTTAACATATCAACAATTACAACAAATTCCTTGTACATGTATGTACTACATTACCATAGTTTTGCTCAATTCTCATATTGTTTCCATATCATTATAATACACTTGTTTTAGAAATTAAATTCTACCTCTTTTGAATGTTGAATGTTCCTGTGTTTTTTAATTGTCGTTTATTGTGCATGTATTTTGTAGTTTGTGATTGTGCAATATTGCCACTGTTTCTTCATGGAATGTTCCGCAATACATATCTCATCTAAAACATCTATGTTGTATAATAGTTTCTTACAGTTGTTTACGGGGGCATGGTTGGCCCAGTCGCCGAAGGGGCTGCAATTCGCTATGCAGCGTTGTGTCCCTTGGGCACGCCAGAAACCTATGACAGTGTGTTTGAATCTCGGTTCGCCCCGATTTTGTTTTCAGCACAAAACCCTTGCTCGTTGGTTTCACCAAAGTGGTGACCGTCTAAGACCTGCATCACTTCAGACTTTTATCCCACTTCAAGCTGACACGGAATACTATTGAAGACGGCGTTAAACCCAACTACCTCACTCACTCTTGTGTATGGTTCCGTTTGGTTAACTGCGTTTGTGTTGTGATTGCTTCCGGCTTAGATTGGAAATTTGTTTAGAAGAATGTTACTATGTTCAACCCAAACATCGTGAAGATATCATGCAACCGTATTATCTTTTTGGAAAATAATTGCAAACTACAGACCAACCTGTTGATTTCCTATGTATCCAGAAGCAAAGAACATATACGGGTGTATGATCTCTGCTGGAAGTTAATTTGTTTTGACAAAGCAATAAACTATGCAGAAACGTAAACCGCCGCATGAAACGGTATGTACCATACATTACATACAGTGAAGTATTTAAAACAATTCTGTGCTCAACTATGCACAGCTAGCGCCATACATGTGATTATGAAGACAACTAACAAAAAATTTCTCATATCAAACCCGTTGTTTTACATGTGTTGTTTATTGTAGAAAGTCATACTTTATAGAAGCCTGTTATTTAATCGTGTTGAACAATATGTTGCAATAGCAGTGTGAAAATTGAGTGCGCGTGACAGGCTTGGCCTAAATTCCTTCCTGGAACGTTTCTCGATGGCTGCCTGAATAACATACGATACATTGTAAAGGTAGTGCGCAATTGAACTGTTCGGGGAAGGGAGATAATCACTCACTCTCAGTGATGCAGCTTGAATAAGATACGATGTACAGCAATGCAAGGTCAGTGCGTGAATTTTTCACTTCTATACTACGCCTATAGCTAATGGAGATAATCGCTCAATGCGCAATAGTTTATTCTTACAAAATATAGACCGGTTAACTTTAGCGAAATGGGATCATTTTTAGCTCTTTTAAAAACAAAATGAACAAATTTCATGGGTTATCAGCATAACGAAAAGTGACTAAGTCTCAGAATAGCAAGACGATTTTGAAGTATCTCTTATTGCTGGAAAAGATAAACATCAACATTTCACGCACATTTCAAATGATTTGTATGTTTCGTTTCGGTAACTGTGTGGCTTGAAATTTCTAAGAAACCAACATGTCGACTTACATGCTCCAAAATTAACCTCTCCCGTATACTTCCCCGCCTTAAGGGCGGGGAAGAATAAATGGAACACTTCTCGTGAGGAGGGTCTCTGCCGTGGGCCACATGTCTCAAAGACAAGCAACCAGTTTTTGAGAGAAACCGTCGGGCGCGAACTCGCGACCTTCGGATTGTTAGCCCGACAGCTAACCGACTGAGCTACGTCCACACTGTATCACAAAGTGCAATTTTACCAAGTCATGCCTACGACGTTACGGAACTGAACGAAAAGGGTCGAACAGGTGACGGACACTTACGAAGGTTACGGGTAGGCATGGTGTCTCGTGACTTTAGTCTATCGACACTTACGAATGATGACGATGTCATTTGGCACACTCGTCCCATTCCGTAATCTACAAGATACCGAGTGGCGAGGAATGATCCGATATGGCGCGAACTGAACACGGCTCCAGGCCTCAGACGTCAGACGTCGAACTCACGAGTACGCATGAATGACTGTTATTTAATAATTCGTCGGGTGGTTTTTGTGACAGAAAAGTGTGGTTACTGTGGTAGGGAACACTGTAAGGATGATGTGGATAATAGTAAGGAACGAGGGAGGCATGTGCATGGCTAGTGACGACACAACGGTGAGTTCGCTTTTGAATCAGTACTGAAAAAATGTAACCGGTGAAAGTGACTTGTGTGAATGTTCCAGGACAGTTTCCAGTAGCCAAAATATTCGACACAAAACCATTTCATCCTTTTTACTCGACGTTTTTGTGTGAAGAATATTAGGAGCCGCTGTATAATCTATATTATAGCTAAAATGGATAGAATTATCATAAAAACGCCCGCATGTTATCAGAAATGAGCGGGCCACTGTAACTTGATAATACCCTCATATTACTTGACGACGGGCCATTATCACGCCCGTTGTTAGGTGACGTCATAGGATAGGGATAGGTGACGTAACGTTGAATAGTGACGTCATCTGGTTTGTTCTATGACGTTTCCATATTTGTAAAAAAGGGTCAGTGACATTCGTGTTGATTGCAGTAAATGTTTCAAAATCGACATTGTTGTTTCTTTTTATTTG